GTCTTATCCCCGTTTTACAGATGGGGAATTGAGACAGAGGTGAGGAGGAAACAGTGTTAAGAGCCAGATTTCTGAAAGCTTTCAAGTCACCAAAGAAACGGTGAAAGTTAGTGTATAACTTGTGCATTTGGAGAAAAGAACAAGGCAGGGTCTCTTAAATACACATGGAGCTCTGAGAGGCTTGAATCTGCTGATCAAAGCAGCTGCAAGAACATCACCCCAAACACCAGGTTCCTAAACACAGGCATAAAGGTTACTTTTGGAACTTCAGCTTCCCTCAGTGGAAGTTAAAGGCTCCTGTCTTGGTCAATAACTCTTTGAAAAAAAATCCACACCATACAATAACTCAAACTGCAGTTTGGCCTGCTCAGAGAGCAAAAGCAAATGGAGCCAGTGTTTCGAGGTCTCTGAACAGCACAGACTGTAATATCTGTAACACAGCAGCACATGCAGGGTCTGTTTATTAGGAGTACCATGCCATAAGTACAATCCATGTTTATTCACAAAATGCAGAAAATTACTGAATGTAAATACAACAGATACATTTGGCAATGTGTCCTTAAAATAGGGAAAGCAGCAGGTAGCACAGAAGCTCTGTGGTAGGTGAGGAGATGAAGAGTACTCCCACTGAGCAAAAGCAAGGTAGGTGGAGTTTGGCATCCCTTGATGTGGAGCTTTGGAAAAAAGTTCCACATCCACATCCTTTCAAAGGTCCACCATAATTTTCAAAGCTCTAGTAATTTTTCCAAAATTTATTCCAGCAGTGCCTAAAGTCATGCTCTTGTCCCTCACCATGAAATGGGTAATACAGCTTTAAGACGTTCTGAATTATTAACACATAGATTTTAAAAGACCACAATATTGCATAAAAATAAAACAGGGAAGCAAAATATCCTGGGATAGCAATGTATGTCCACTGGCAGTAGTCCAAACAGGCATAAATTGCATTTCTTGGAAATGTACACTGGCTATTGAGTTAATAGCAGTCATCATTCCCTCTGACAATGTGCGGCCAACTCCTCTACTATTCTGTCCAGGGCTGATACTGTAGTATCGAACAATTTCACAAGACATGTCATTTCATCCTATAAATAAATATCAGTACACTGATACTTCCCCCAGATCCTCTGGTCTAAGTTCTCTGCAAAACAAAAACAACAGAAAAACAAAAACCCCATCTTCAGCATCGTTTTTCGCCTCACCTCAACTGTTGATTCACAAATCTACGTCATTATAATACCAGTGCAAAACCTATCTCTCCAGGCTAGTATTTTAGCACATCCATATCTCACTTCCAACTTCCTTGGTTCACCTTGGAACTGAAATGTCTTCATCCTGTGGATGCGGAGCACCCATCTATGGGGACAATACCTGCCATTCTCCCCTCTCCTTCAGCCATGCTGGTTTGTCCCTCCCAGGCTGGGTAGCCTGGCTGTGACTCTGCAGCACTCCCTGCTCCTCGCTCGGAGGTCAGGCAGGCAGGGCCTCCTCCCAAACACAACAGACTATAGATAGCTGCTGCAGCAAATGCTTTCCATTATGTACCTCCCCCTCTCAGCCCAGTGCCGGTGGGAGCAGCATGGGGCTCCCGTGCTGCTCTGCTACGTGTTTTCTGTTATTTGGGGTGAGTTGCGCATTCCTCACACGATTTGAATGTCATGCGGAGCCCTGGGGGAATCCTTAGAAGAATGGGACATACAACAAGAAATCTGGAGGAGACTTCTAGCAATGACAGCAATCAGGCTCCAAAACACTCTTCCAAATTATGAAAGACATAGGAAAAAAAATCCCAACTGCTTTCAAATGAGAGCCTGATAAAATTGTGAGTGATTACAGGATTTTATATCTGTGACAGCTAATGATCAGACACCCACAGACCCAAGAAGGGCTGCACACTGCCTTCTCATCCTTTACTGTGGAAATCTGACTCACACTCCCTTCCTGGAGCACCTTGTGGTATCTTGTACTAAGGACAAGAAACTAAGCTCCCAACCTGTTCTGCCCCTCAAAACAATTTGGGTCTGTGTTAAACCCAAGATGGCCAGTTCATATTTCAGTGTCAGCTCAGCGTTTGCACACAAGATTGTTATGAATATAGAAACATAGGACTGAAAGGACTTCTGGGATGGCTGGAGGCATTGACCTCAGCCACTCCCCAACTTGCTGCCATGCATTTTATTCCACCACCATTTTCAGGCTGCCAGTGTAATTGGAAATCCTGCAGGTTCTGAAGGGCCAGCAGGACAGGCTAGCATTCCCTGTAAGTTTTAACCTGTAACTAAAGAAAAATATAATCTCCAGATCCCAGAGTTATGACAAGATCAACAAAATTATTAACAGGAAAAGGGAGCTTGAAGGAAAGGGAAGCCTTCATGCCTCCAGGAACTGAACACACATCTAGAATAGAAATAGAAATACAGGAAGTCCTGTAAGGTTCTGCATCCCATGCTGCAATGGTGGCCACTGTGCTGGCTACCTCATTATCTGCCAGGAAGGCGACACTAATAAAATACATGTCAGAGAAACACTTTCATGTGGTTGTTGATTAAATCTAGCACTGGGCTGATGACTGAGCTTTATAGTCCCAGTAATAAATACACATACTAACCACTCACTTTAAAAGTGACATTTTGAGACTGGAACTTATTTAAAGCAAAATGCACTAATTTGTGGATTACAAGATGTGTAGAGACATGAATAGAAGAGCATTTGCAACACCCATGGCATCTCACATAGCTCAGACTACACGGCCCCTCTGTAACTCCCAGTAAAAATCCTAAGAGCAATAACACGAAACATTCACCACATTCAGACACTTCTCCGGCCCTGCCCATTTGTCCTCAGCAAAGCCAGCCTGGGAAGCCCAGCTGGGTCCCCAACGCAGCCGTGCAGCATGCAGTCAATTAGTGCCATCTCCACCCTGAATGCAGTACAAGGGACAGAGCCTGGGCCGAACCGCCAAGGGTGCTCCTGCGCACATCCCTGCACGGCTGCACAGAGCCCCGCGCCCCCGCGGGAGCCCGGCGCCCCTGCAGCCCTG